AACAAAAGAGGGAGCCTGTCTTTCATAGGCTTGTGTCCTGGCCGTGCCTTTCCTCCTGAGTAATGTAGGTCCTCTTTGGCATTTTCTTCCAAAAGAGGCCTGTTTTGTCACAATTGAACACTTGTTGGGGTTTGAATTTTTCAGTCTCTACATACCCCTTAAATTCACTCAGAGTTTTCAGGCGCACGTTTGTCTGAACTTGCTGCCTCCCCATGCTTTACCACACTGTGTATGCCACTATGCTTCTTAAATCTGTCAAACCAGCCTCTGCTGGCCATAAATTCACTAACTTCAGCACTGGTTCCATGCATTTTCTTTATCAGATTGGCATGCATCTGCCTTGCTTTCTCACAAATTATCGACTCTGAAACACTATCACCCGCTATCTGTTTATTATTGATCCACACCACCAACAATTTCTCAACCTCTTCGACTGTTTGTGATCTATTTTTGGATAACGTGGCAACACCTTTCGCAACATCAGCTTGAGTTCTTATCTCTTCACCAGGATAGAAGTGATAGTTGATTTGTTTTTGCTGTACATCCTGGCAAGCTCCCCCACACGAATGGCGCTCTTGTATTTTTCTATTATCTCCTTCACTGCTATGGTGTTCCTCACTTTCTTAACCACAGGGCCCATGGTGGCTTATTTCACTGTCACAATTAATGGGTGGCTGGGTGGCTGGTTGCCTGCCTGCCTGGATGGCTGCCTGGATGGCTGGCTGCCTGGATGGCTGGCTGCCTGGATGGCTGGATGGCTGGCAGGCAGGTTGGCAGGCTGACTGGCTGGCTGGATGAATGGCTGGCAGGGTGAGAGCGCAGGGTAATGTTCGCTCAAGGGTAAACAATGCTAGACTGGCTGACGATGCCTGCGCGGGAAGGTGGACAGGTCTGGTACGCCGGCCGAAACCCAGGGCAATGGCTGAAACGCAGGACAGAATTTGGCTGAAAAAACAGGTGAAACCCGAAGCGGCCGATTCCCAGGGCGGCCAAAACCCAGGGTTTCACTGTACTGAAATAGCTTCTTTTTTTTTTTTTTTGGCATGTATAAGAGGTGCAGTAGATGTTGTAGAATTACCTGTAATGAGAAGCAAGCATTCGTTAAGTATACTACCATAAGAGGTAACTCAGAAAGCATAAAGGGTTCAAGGGTTTTTACTAGATAAGGTGAATTACTTACAGGTGCCTAGAGGAGTAAACTTGACAAGTTACTCTAAACCACTTATAATCAGGTGGGCTATGCTTCTGCTGTTAGACTATGTTCCACAAGCACTAACAGTCTGAATGACTAGATTGTCAGCCCAAAGGCCTGGTCTGAGGTAGGATTGTATGCATGATATTTCAGAATAATTCAGTCACTAGGACAATCAGTGAATGGCTTGTCACTGATGGTGGTTACTGTTAACCTTTTGTTTTTCATTTGTGATGAGTACTGGGGGTTTTGTATAACCTGTTTGCTAGTAGACTAATACCTGAACAACATATTCTAAAAAAAAAAATAAAACTTTTTTCAGATACATACAGTATTCTGTATTCATATAATACTTGGCAGGCAGGTCCAATGACTGCCTCAAAGATTTTCAAATTAAAAGTTTCAAGCCTGTAAAGTGTTATTACATTCAAACCTTTAATTATTCAGCATGGTTCATTGTATAGTATGGTACAGTAAATAGCATTATTTTCAAATACTGTAATGATTTTATGTAAAGTATACAGTACAGTTGTCTCTACAAATTTTTGGAGTTCTTTGTTAAAGAATTCTATTGCCCAATATTTTCACTGATGGGTAAATGGCAAATGAATTTAATTATCCATTGATTTAATTGTTGTACACATTTTTTCAGGCTTATGGTGCTGACAGTTGACCTCTTCACTGTCCAGACCCCAGTGTCCCCTTTTTTCTATGTTATTTGTTCTTCTGAAATAGTAATTATATATATTTTTTAAGGTAATGATACCAAAAGTACAAAATTCAAGGAAAAAATTGTAGAATTATGCAGGCACAAAGTTAGTGATCAGAGTACATTTTATGCATTGGCAATTTTGCCAAATTTGAGTCCTATTTTATGTCAATTCCACTGCTCCTTTAAACAGAATTCTTAGCTATTTTGCTAGTATGCCTTCCATTCTATCTATTGAGGACAAGAAACTGCCCAGTCAACTTATATAACTAACCTATGAAGTGCACATCAGTTGGTAATTTGGCCAAATTTACATAAAATTAAAAAATCACTTTAAAAATAGTGCAAAATAATGTCAACATTCCTGGCACTAATAATCCCTGTGTTCATTAATCATGTCCCCAGGTCTCTCCTATATCACAATTGCCTTCCATTTTGAATTTATAATCACAAAAATAGATTTACTCTTTCCCAGATAATTAAATGTAACCAGGAATTATGATTTATGATGTTCTAAGAAATGAATCAGGCCTTTTTAAAACCAATAAAACAGGCTGGGGAAACCAGCAAAAATCAAATATTTCTGCTATTTTGAGCCCAATTTCCATTCTGTCAAGTGTTACCAAGAAAAAGCCAATAAAACTATAAAAACAATCCTAGAAAAAACTCAAATTTGCTATTATAAATCAAACACATGGTCAGAGTTTTGTTTTTCCATCATACACTGCAATGGGCAGGATGTTTTTTTATTCTGTGTACACTCACCGTGCAGACCCATTCTTTCGTATCTAGGTCAAATTTAATGCTACAGCTGATCTGAGTGAGCTAACCTCATGACATGGAACAACATGAGGGACCCTGGCCTCAGTGATGTAGTTCTACATGACATCCACTGAAAGTGTTAAATAGGAAACTTGTTACAGGATTTCATTCAAAATGTGCTCAACGACCTCTCCAAGCCAAGCCTTTCCATACTAAACATTCTTATGAATGCTAACAGTAATCAGGTTAGAATGATATTTAAAGAGATCACCGAGGCATACAGTGAACCCACATTTGGAGACAAAATTATTTACTAATTTTAGATTCAAGGGACCTCTGTGATTATAACCCTCAACTCCCCTTTCCTATGAATTTATGGGGATGACTCTACAATATATAACTTTTTTACGATAGGTTTTTTTTTTTGTTTACTCTTGAATTTACAGGCTGAGAACTGTTGTCATACCTTAATTTATTTCAGAGCACAACCCTGTCTGTTGTATTCTACCAGCCCTAGGCTTGGATGCTAGCCACACCAGTGATTATCAGACAGATATCAGTTTTCTGCTAGGTGTAAAGAACAATAGATGAAAGGAGATATTCCTTGAGTCTCCACATGGTCCAAGATCAAACCATGGATCAGTTTCAGTTGTGAGCTGAAGGTGCTACCACTGATCCATGAGCCACCTTTTATTGTAATAACAATTATGATAACTAGAGAATTTGTAGTAGATAGATTTAATTTCTTAGTAAATATATTTATGGCACTGCATAATTATGAACATGTCAGAAAAAATTTAATGTAAATGTTAACCCTTTGGGGGTTTCGGCCGTACTAGTACGGCTTACGACCCAGGGTTTTTGATATACTAGGATGCCTAAATTCTAGCGCCCTCAAATCTAGTGGGAGAAAGCTGGTAGGCTTACATATGAAAGAATGGGTCTATGTGGTCAGTGTGCACGGTATAAAAAAAATCCTGCAGCACACAGTGCATAATGAGAAAAAAAAACTTTGACCGTTTTTTTGGGAATAAAACAGCGACTTTGCACTGTATTTTCGTATGGTATTTATTGTTGTATTCTAGTTTTCTTGGTCTCATTTTATAGAATGGAAGACATATTACAGAAATTGAGATGATTTTGACTGGTTTTACAATGAAAAGTACCTTGAAATTGAGCTCAAAGTAGCAGAAATGTTCGATTTTTACATAAGTTCAAAAGTAAACAAATCATGCCAAGCGTCCAATACACGTCAACTGGTGAGTCTAATATTCTTTCGCAAGTGCGCCAATATTATTTATACCATTTTTTACACTAATGCAGTAGGCTGCATAACAGTAAATCTTCTATTTTTTGTGAGACTAAAAATTCAAAGTGAAAAGCAAAAGAATGTAAGAGGGGCCTTGAGACGTGACTAATGAAAAGAGGAAATGTCATTTTAGTGTCAGGAATGATTTCTTGTTTATTCTGAACCCTATTCGAAAATTGGCATCTTTTGAAATTTGTGTGAAATTGGCAAAATTGCTAAATTCTGACCACTGTACTGGATAGTTGAAATTGGTAAATGGGTGGTTTCTTGCACTCATTCGATAGAAAAAATGGAGTTCTAGCGAACTATTCATGTTTTTTGTCGACTAGTGCAGTGGAATTGGCCGAAAATGGGGCTCAAAGTGGGCAAAATCGCCGATGCATAAACCGCCGAGACCGCTAACTTCGCGAGAGCATAATTCCGTAAGTTTTCCATCAAATTTCATACTTTTGGTGTCATTATGATCGGGAAAAGATTCTATATCTTTTCATAAGAAGAATTTTTTTTTTTTTTTTTTAAATTTGGCCGACCCTGAGAACGAGTCTCGGAGAGGGCCTGTCGACCCTCAAAGGGTTAATAATCATGTAGTGCAATAAATATGCATAAGAAGAGATGAAGTGTTACCTACCTTCTATAAAGTATGCTTCTGTAAGACCTACAATATAAAAAATATATAATATGACTGCTCATTATGTTAGCACATTATTATGAAGACAGTTTGCTGCATTATTATAGTGTGATGTTTTTCATGTCTATTAATCCTGATCCTACATCTTTGGATTAAACTTCGCACTCTTACGTTGAAAATGTATAATATGGTGCATTCCTTGGAAGCTTTACTGTTCTCTGGTTGCCAATATTTTAACTATTTTGGGGAGGTTTTTTGTTTCTTCAAATTATTTGGTAAAATTGGACAGTTTGAGCTACATTGAGGTAGCAAATGGGAATAATGGATCTCTTATGATTGCCTAAATAAAATCAAACCAAAATTAGTTTTAATTTAGCTTTCACATCTTCTTTCTCCACAGTAAGCCCTCTTGTATCACAAAGTGTAAGCCAGTTATTGAGACGCATTAACAAATCAGTGAAGTTGGACCGATGGGAGAAAGGACTCCAGCGCTTTGCACACAGCTATTCACACCAAGATGGCTGGGAACTTGAACGTTTTGGCTTCAAAAAAGCCAAACTAGAGGTTAAGATTCGTGTGCTTAAGGTGTGTTTCTCTTTGATGTTATTAAAACTAGTGTATTGTTGATGAATTGTACCTTTAATTTGCTTAACTTGTAAATAACATTGGAGTTTTGTGTGATAAGCATGTGATTGATGAGGCAAAAATATTGTGAATATTACATTGCCCCATACATTTTAAATTTTTTACAAAAATACAGGCAGATGATATAGATTTGAATAAATAGCTGTTTAAGGTAATTAGATTTTATTAAGCTAGTTCACACTACTGAAACCTCTGCTGAATAAAACTTTAAGTTTAATGAGCACTGACAATAGCATCAAGGTATTGGTGTGAGCATTATGCAGTGAGTTAAGGGCATAGAAACTAGATGATGAAGTGGGGTTACAAAGAGTTATTTGGAGGGCAGAGGAATGGTTGTGCAGGTGGTCTTGGCATTTAGAGAGGAGGGAGCAAAATAGGATGTGTATAAATCTGAGGTAAAAAAAAAATGAGGAGGGTAGGGGTTCATCCCAGAAAATACTGGAGGGAGGGTTGTGAAAGTGGTTAAATTTACGTTTACCTGGAGAGGGTTTCAGGAGTCAGTGCCCCTGCAGCTTGGTCTGAGACCAGGCCTCACGGTGGATCAGGGTCTGATCAACCAGGTAGTAAGGGTTTAAGTATAAAGATGGCATGCATGAGCATATGAGATTGGGTTAAGTGGAGACAAAGATTTTTAGGGACTTGACATAATGTGGTAACATTTATGAAGTGTATAGGGATACCAGTTCACTGAACTTGAGTTCTGGAGGTGGGAGATGCACTGCCTGCACTCAGAAAGATGGGTGGGATAGTTCAGAGGCTCACTCAGATTGTGATGTCTGTGCACTTTCAGTAAGACACCTGTTGAATGAATGGTGGTAAATGTTTTCTTTTTGGATCACATTACATTGGTGGGAGATCACAAGTATGGTAAAAAATTACATGCAGGTTAATAGCCAGTTATTAAAAATGACTTATTTTGCAATATGTAATATATTATTTTACATTGATCGTAGAACCTGCTTGAAGCTCAGTTTGATTTGTATAAGAGCTTCAAGGATAAAGTGAACTTATTGGGAGCAAATGAGCTGCGACTTCAACCATGTGGACGTGACAAGAAAGGTGTCTCATACTGGTGTCAGTTAGATGATTGTGCTAATCTGCGTGTCTACAGCGATGATCAAGATGAAGAAACATGGACACTTGTTGCCAGGTGGGTAATTCTAAGACTGTTGAAATTATTTGTTGCATAAAGTCGGAAAATAAATTCGTTCATAAGTGGCTTGATGTAAGGCCTGAATCATTGTACAGCAATTTTGTTTCTGATAGTATCAGTTGTATTTTAAAAAAAAATAGTTAATCTTAAGATTTCTTTAAGGTATCTAACAGATATTTTATAATTCAGCCTCTCCTCACTTAGCAATGTACTCGTTTACTGACAATTCAGACTTATGACGGGCTCTCTGACCAATGTGCATACCTAAATAATGTATATTAGAGCTGCTTTCCTCTATTCTGTTTTATTACAATATACAGTACACTACTGTATAAACAATTAAAAATATACCAGAAATGTTATAAATGGTGCAAAGGTGACATTAAAACAATATCAAAGATGGTTGACACAAACCCACTACCATTATAGTATGCTCCTCACTTAGCGACGAATTCATTTACTGACGTGGTCTTCGGAACAGAACTTCGTCATTAAGTGAGGAGAGGCTGTACTGGGTGCTGTACAGTATTTGTTTAAAAGATATTCTACTGATGATTAATTTCTTCTTTCAACAAATTGGCCGTATCCCACCAAAGCAGGGTGACCCAAAAAGAAAAATGAAAGTTTCTCTTTTTAATTTTAATACATTCAGGAGAAGGGGTTACTAGCCTCTTGCTCCCAGCATTTTAGTTGCCTCTTATGACATGCATGGCTTACGGAAGAAAAATTCTGTTCCACTTCTCCAAGAAGATAAGAGGAAATAAACAAGGACAAGACCTAGTAAGAAAAATAGAAGAAAACCCAGAGGGGTGTATATGTATATGCTTGTACATGCATGTGTAGTGTGACCTAAGTGTAAGTAGAAGTAGCAAGAAAACCATCATGTAAAACAGTTACACTCACTTGACAGGATGGTAGTACCTCCCTGGGTGGTTGCTGTCTACCAGCCTACTAATCTTCATTAAAGCGCATAACATATAAAGGTGGAACTTCTCTAATACTGTGAAGCAGGAGGGTGTGGAATGATCAAGCAAGAGAGTAGAAGAGCGATCACCAACAACTTGACTGGTCAGAGACAGTGCCACAATTAGGAAATGGAGGATCAAACCTCCATTACTTGGATTTAAAAAGCCATACAGGTTTAGTAATGGTCTTTGATCCAAAAGAGGAAATATTGATCATTAATTCAGTAGCTGCCAGAAATGTACAGACGTCACAGTTTAACCCTTTCAGGGTTTCGGCCGTACTAGTATGGCTTACGCCCCAGGGATTTTGACGTACTAGTGCGCCTAAATTCTAGTGCCCTCAAATCTAGTGAGAGAAAGCTGGTAGGCCTACATATGAAAGAATGGGTCTATGTGGTCAGTGTGCGCAGTATAAAAAAAAATCCTGCATCACACAGTGCATAATAAGAAAAAAAAAACTTTGACCGTGTTTTTGGATTAAAACAGCGACTTTGCACTCTATTTTCGTATGGTATTTATTGTTGTATTCTAGTTTTCCTGGTCTCATTTTATAGAATGGAAGACATACTATAGAAATTGAGATTATTTTGACTGGTTTTACAATGAAAAGTACCTTGAAATTGAGCTCAAAGTAGCAGAAATGTTCGATTTTTACCAAAGTTCAAAAGTAAACAAATCATGCCAAGCATCCAGTACACGTCAACAGGTGAGTCTAATATTATTTCACAAGTGCGCTGATATTTATACCATTTCTACACTAATGCAGTAGTCTGCATAACAGTAAATCTTCTATTTTTGTAAGAATAAAAATTCAAAGTGGAAAGCAAAAGAAATATAAGAGGGGCCTGGGGATGTGACTAATGAACAGAGAACTTGTTATTTTAGTGCCAGGAATGTCTTTCTTGTTTATTCTGGACTCTATTCGGAAATTGGCATCTTTTGAAATTTGTGTGAAATTGGCAAAATTATTAAATTCTAACCACTTTATTGGATAATTGAAATCGGTAAATGGGTGGTTTCTTGTACTCATTCGATAGAAAGAATGGAGTTTTAGTGAAATAGTTATGATTTTTGTCGATTAGTACACAGGAATTGGCCGAAAATAGGGCTCAAAGTGGGCAAAATCGCCTCTGCGCAAGCATCGTTGAGACTGCTAACTTTGCAAGAGCATAATTCCGTAAGTTTTCCATCAAATTTCATACTTTTGGTGCCATTATGATAAGGAAAAGATTCTCTATCTTTTCATAAGAAAAAAATAACTTTTTTTTTTTTTTTTTTTTTTTTTTTTTAAATTTGACGACCCTGAGAACAAGTCTCGGAGAGGGCCTGGGGACCCTGAAAGGGTTAAGTGACCTAAATCATAACATCTATACCCCTCTGCTCCTCCAGAACTCATGCTAACTGGTTTCCCAGAATCTCTTCATAAATGTTCCCTTGCTTGCACTCAACAGCACATTAAATCCCTAACACCATTTGTCTTCACTCACCCTGAACTAACATCCTCTCACATACCACTTAAAACTGCCTTCACACCTTTCAGAGGATTTTATAAAGAATTTGTAGACCAAAAATCGTAACATCTTCTTTTCTCTAGGAAACAAACTTGCATTTTGATAAAATAATATATTTCATAGTTATCTAGGTCATACTTACCCTATCACTAATGCTTCTGGTGTATAATCCGTATCCTGCTCTTCCTTCTCCTCCTTTACTGCACTTTGGTAAAAATGGCCACAAACTAAAAAATAAAAAGAAGTGTTCTTTCTATAAACACTAACAGTGCTCTTTTCTGTTGTTTTAAGGATCATAGCTTTCCTATAATCTGGTACACTGCTTAAGCTATCTTCCCTTCTTCGAGCCTCCATAGATATTGTCTTGTTGAATCTTCCCTTATACAGTGGACTCTTGAATTCCGTAATTAATCCGTTCCAGAGTCTGACGAAAGGCGAAATTCACGAATGGCGAAACCATTTTCCCCATAAGAAATAATGTACTGTGGAACTTCTACTTGCGAGTTTAATCCGTTCCATGATCTTGCTCGCAACTGGATTTGCTTGTTTGCAGAGTCAATTTTCCTCATTTAAATTAATTGAAATGCAATTAATCTGTTCCAGTGGAATTTTTTTTTTTTTTTTAACACACTGGCCGATTCCCACCAAGGCAGGGTGGCCCGAAAAAGAAAAACTTTCACCATCATTCACTCCATCACTGTCTTGCCAGAAGGGTGTTTTACACTACAGTTTTTAAACTGCCCCTCCAGTGTGCAGGCACTGTAATTCCCATCTCCAGGACTCAAGTCTGAAATTCTATACTTCAATAATTTCGCTGATATCAACTCTACGGCTTATTTATCCATTTCACTTCATCTAATATGACATAATAAGCAACATAAATAACATAGAAACCTGACAAATACTCTAGAATGAATAAAATGTCATTATATATGTGGCGGCAGACGAGAGTTTGTCTGGAGACAGGACAAAATATGTACTCCTTGAATATTTCGCTCTCATGAACTCTACGGCATATTTATCTATCACAGTTCATCTAATATGACATAACAAACAATATAAATAACATAGAAACCTGATATATACTCTAGAATGAATAAAATATGTCATTGTGTAACAGGTGGAGGCGGCCACATCCGCTCCCTCTTTGTTGTGGTAAACACTGCCATCTAGTGACGGCCTTTTGAAGCCGTCTATTATTATAATTATTATTATGTAGTATAATATTATTATTATTATTATTATTATTATTATATACAGGAGGGCCCCACTTATACGGCAGGTTAGGTTCCAGGCTACCGCCGTAAAGCGGAAATCGCCGTAAAGTGGAACACCCTTTTTTTCCACTTATAAATGCATACAAACACTAGATAACAAGTTTACACTAACATATATTAAGTTAGCAATAGAACCAGGCATCAAAAAACAATAAAAAGGTACAATACACACATAGTGCACTCATTACTTACCTTAAAATATTTATAGTCTTAATCTAGGGTGAGACAAGTAGTATTTATTGTAAGAAATCAAGTGTGGTATGTATTGTAATAGCCAGGCTACCTCACCAGGCCACCCCACCCACACATACTATTCTATGATATTTAAGCATCCCAGAGCGATAAAATGTATATACAGTTCACTCATTACTTACCTTAAAATATTTGTAGTCTTAATGTAGGGTCAGGAGTAAGTAAATGAGATAAAACGAATAAATGAGAGAGAGAAAGAATGAGTACATGAGAGGTAACAGGCGCAGAGTTATGTAAACAAACCAGGCTCCCACATCTTATATTTATGTTTATTTATTCTATTGTGGGGTGTATTTATCATCTTTTTATGTTATGTATCGTGTTTATTATATAATTTTGAAAAAAATATCATGGCTGGATTAATGAAAATGTGTATATTACCGCAATATACGACATTTAATGAGACTCGGTGAGTATTGTTATTATCACCACTTGTGGAAGTCGTCTGCTACCACATCTCACATTTATGTTTATTTATTCTACTGTGGGGTGTATTTATCTTATTTATATGTTATGCATCGTGTTTATTATATAATTTTGAAAAAAATATCATGGATGGATTAATGAAAATGTGTATATTACCGTAATATACGACATTTAATGAGACTTGGTGAGTATTGTTATTATGGCGTCACTTGTGGAAGTCGTCTGCTCACATCTCACATTTATGTTTATTTATTCTACTGTGGGGTGTATTTATCTTATTTATATGTTATGCATCGTGTTTATTATATAATTTTGAAAAAAATATCATGGATGGATTAATGAAAATGTGTTATTTACCGTAATATACGACATTTAATGAGACTCGGTGAGTATTGTTATTATGGCGTCACTTGTGGAAGTCGTCTGCTCACATCTCACATTTATGTTTATTTATTCTACTGTGGGGTGTATTTATCTTATTTATATGTTATGCATCGTGTTTATTATATAATTTTGAAAAAAATATCATGGATGGATTAATGAAAATGTGTATATTAACGTAATAT